GGATTCACGTCAGTAATTATCGGCCACTTTTGGCGACTCGTCAAGAGATTTGTGTGCCTTAGTAATCAGTCAGAATGTTATCACGTATTCAGTAATGTTAAACTTTCCCAAAGTTCAGATGCCGCCACGTAGGGAACCCGATCAGCAGGCTCCTACTCAGGCTACTGTAGTCGCACAGTTCTGCGACTATCATGTTGAGAAATTTTTCCGGGTAGGGAGATCCCCGTATCGTGGACGAGTTGATTTAGAACCTTAGAAAGGGATTAAGTTTAAGAACTCTAGATTCAATTCTAGATCTATTCAAGTCAAGTTAGCAACTTGTCAGGAGATTTGTGAGCACTTGTGCTAAACAAATCTTAATAAGCATGTTTCTCAGATATTTTATCGAGAACTGCCATTTTGTCAATCAATTGGCAGATTTCAGGGAGACATTCCTTGATTTAATTCGAGGAATAGACTCAAATTCCTAAGTCAGATCAGTAAATCATGTTCAAGGCAAGAATTTTCATGTTAAAGGTTGTTATAATTCTCAAGTCATTGTTAAGGTAACGGTTTTCAGTGTATAAGAGTCAATAGTCCGGGTTACCGTGGAGGCTTGAAATAATAGCCATTCAGCCGGGTATACCATGGAGACTTGAAGCTGAAACCGGAGCAGTATGTTTTCATGTAATAACAACCTCTCAAGTCAGTCATGTCAGATATTTTATCAGTCATGATATTCCAAGTTATGATTTTCAAGATCGAGATTAGCTAATTACTTTGTATTTGCGGGACCAGTTGATACTGGAGCAACCTATACAGTACAGAGTTATAAATTCATGTCCACGATTTACAATTTATGTTCATAATGTAAGGACGACGTATAATAGTTGTTCAGCCGGGTTAAATGTGGCAATCTGATGTACAGACCATTAGTCCAAATTTACCTGGAAACTTGAAGTCGCACCTTACCAAGTCAAACAAGTCAGTAAATATCATGTTTTCAATTCCGAAGCGACTATCTAGTTGTCTCGGATAGTTTTCAGAGTTTAGACAAAGATGATTCAGTCATGTAAGAGTCAAGTCATGATTATTCAGTCATTCAGGTCAGTCATGTCAAGATCAAGGATAGTCTGTCTAATCAGACAAGACTTATCTATCATTTTCAGTATGTCAGCGCCTCGAGTCTCAAATTCTGAAGAATCTGAGAAATCGGGAAGATATTCATTCATGATGGACTTCTTCTTGAGGTTAAGTTAAACCTCAGAGGGAGTAAACAGTTGCAGGTACCACAGGTTGACAGACGCCGCGACGAAGAAGGGCCAATCAATAGCAACAGATCACTCCATGATGACAAACCGACGCTTTCCACCCCAAGGATGCCATGCTTGAATCACAATACACTGGGAGATTACAGAGAGTTAGTATTAAAAAGTACATTGAGGTTACTAGCTTGAGGTATAGATACGATCAGATTACGTCGACGACGCAGGTGCAATGTTCGCCAGGTGCTGTATGCAGGCGTGCCGCACTCACTTGATGAGGAGCAGGTGTGCCGCAATACAATGTGCCGTGAACGATGTGCCGCGTTGTCGAGCAGACATTCATGAAAGGTAATGACCAATATAGCTAGTTATCCTCATTTGTGCATATGTGAATCTCTAGAATCTTCCATGTGTACCAACGACAGGAGTCTTCACCACCAGCATTCCGATTGGAGATCAGCCAGCAGCCAAAAGATGATGACCAATACGTTTCAGAGTTTCGTTTTGAAATCATGTCTTATCATTGGAACACTTTCTTTCAGAAAAGTGTCCAATCTCAGTTAGCTGTATTTTACAACTCGCTTAATTGTGAATTGATGTATCTTCAGTTCAGATCAAGTTTCTTATTCAGTATTAAATTACTGGATTCTCAAGTCATGTAATCAGTAAGTATAAGCTTTAAGTTAAGCTTGTACATTCCAGTTTTATTATTTCCGAGGACGGAAATATTTTAAGGGGGGTGGATTGTAACGCCCCGTATTTTATTAATAAAGGAAATACTAGCTTTTAGTTTTAAGTTAGCCTTTATTAATAAATAATCATGTTCATGTTCAAGTTCAGATTGATCAGTCAGTCATATCCTATGTTCGACTATTAGTCGATAAGTTATTCGGTTTACTATTTTTAGTAACCGAATAAGTTTTCAAGATTTAATTCCGATTCATTTAATTAATTAATGAGTCCGGAATTAATTATTCAGTCAGAGACATCCCGTCAGTTTATCAGTATAAGTTATGTTTTTAGTTCCGATATTAATTTCCGGAATTAATTATTTTCAGTCGAGATTACCGAAATTTATTTTCGACGTACCGTTTACGTCCGGAATAATTTTGGTAATTAAGCATTATGTTCAATTGAATAATTAAACATAAATTAAGTGATTAATGATAATTAAACCTACCAATTAGGGCCTAAGCCGTGGGATATATGGAAATTCCCAACAATTGCCCTATAGCCGTACGGTTTTGTGAAGGAGTTCCTAAATTATTAAGTGCTTTCCTATGTATGAAGGAAGAAATCATCCTTCCACCCTAAGCCTTGCACGTGTCCTTATGAAGGGGAAAAGGGGATGATTAGTCATCCATAATGTCCCAATTATTGCCCAAGTGTCCTTAGTTTCATTTGAACACATCATGCCTACATCTTCACTTCATCATATATTTTCCCCTCGGTTTTGTATAAATTGGGGGTTAAG